ATGTGTATTCAAGGAAAACAATTTACAGATTTTACCTTTTGAATCATTCCAACACCGCACATATACAAGAATTTTTACACAAATAAATTTACTGGCAATGCGTTTCTTTTTAAATCTCTACAAACCTTACTGCAATGATATGATTTAATGAATGAGAGGGCTTGGCTCATCAGTAGTGAACCCTCTCAGCGGTTTCGCCAAATTAATCTCTAGACCGCTCTACTATTGTATTGGACTGGTTTTGTTATATACCCTGCATTTTCTATGGAAGGCAGCTAAATGGTGTTTAGTGAACTATGGACATAAGCTTATAGGTCTGTAGAGGTACATACATATAAATTTCAAGGTATTGCATCGAGCAAAGCTCTTCCGCGCAAAACATGTTTTCGATAGAGGGCAATAAAATTTAATTTACTAATATATAATGGTTATGAAAACATGTTTTGCGCGGAAGAGCTTTGCTCGATGCAATACCTTGAAATTTATATGTATGTACCTCTACAGACCTATAAGCTTATGTCCATAGTTCACTAAACACCATTTAGCTGCCTTCCATAGAAAATGCAGGGTATATAACAAAACCAGTCCAATACAATAGTAGAGCGGTCTAGAGATTAATTTGGCGAAACCGCTGAGAGGGTTCACTACTGATGAGCCAAGCCCTCTCATTCATTAAATCATATCATTGCAGTAAGGTTTGTAGAGATTTAAAAAGAAACGCATTGCCAGTAAATTTATTTGTGTAAAATTTTAACATATACAAGAGTAATTTTTTTCTTCTTCTTAGTCCTATACATGTCTATTCTCCACCTGGGGAATTCAAGATCAAGAAAGGAAATAAACAGAAAATATTATATATATGTAATTCTACTGTCCTCAAAGCTTATGTCCATAGTTCTTCTAAAATACCCATTCAGAGAGACTAACAACAGTATCACTATAAAAGGAAGTTCCAAAAATGCAATATAATAGCGGTATGGTAGATTAAACTGGCGAAACCGCTGAGAGGGTTCACCACTGATGAACCAGGCCCTCCCATTAATTTTTTCATTGCAGAAAGGGCAGTAGAAATTGTTTATTTTCAAAAAGAATCATACGCCTTTAAAATAATTTCGAATTTTGATAACAGATGGCGCGCTAGTGCATCATATTATAAATGTTCTAATAAAAGAAACAATTTAATATTTGCGGAAGAGCGATTGCTCGAAGCATATTATATATTTATAAATGTATGTAATTCTACTGTCCTCAAAGCTTATGTTCATAGTTCTTCTAAAATACCCATTCCGAGAGACTAACAACAGTATCACTATAAAAGGAAGTTCCAAAAATGCAATATTGTGCCTTAGAATGCTAACCTGATAGCATGTAGAAGGCGGAATAATTGTCATCCAAAAATGCAATAGGATCCTCGTGGTCACTATTTTTGCCGCCTTGGGGCTTCGGGCTCTAGGTGTGCTTGGTGCGTCCTTGGTTCCTTCGCAGGCGGCGCGCTGTACCAGATTCGGCGGGCTGTTTGCACGTGTCGTCTTGATGTCGTCCTGTGTCTTTTTATGTGCCTTAAAAAGCTTACCTGAAAGCTTGTAGAAGGCGGAATAATTGATACCAAAAATGCAATATCGAAGGCGGATTAATTGATACCAAAAATGCAATATAACAGCGGTATGGTAGATTAAACTGGCGAAACCGCTGAGAGGGTTCACCACTGATGAGCCAGGCCCTCCCATTAATTTTTCCATTGCAGTAAGGGCAGTAGAAATTGTTAAAAAAAAAAAAATCTTACGCCTTTAAAATAATTTCGAATTTATAAAACAATTGTATTAGAGAATTTAATTCTGACCTATACAGCGACTTAAAATAGGGAGACAAGAACAATAGAGAGGATAATTAAAGAAGGAATAATAAATAAATGTATGTAATGAGTTGAGTTACTGTTGACTCTTGTAGAATCCTGTCGACTAAATCTGTGATGAGGTATCCAGTCGACTTAAACTGTGGTGTGAGTCCCTGTCAACTCTCGCTATACTGTGTTGACCGAGAGGAACAGTCAGGATGTGGAGTTTTCCAGTACCTCTCTGCACCTTGGAAGACCTTTAAAAGTTCTCACAAAGTACAGGCAGTCGTGGTCGAGGCAGAGTGGAAAGCTTGGGAATGTCCACACAAAAAACGAAGACACAGTTGCACTAAGAAAGTTCCGTGAACAGATAAAAGTTGAGCTAGGAGCGAAAGATGGAGATGGAAGAGTTCTTACTGACTACATGGTGGATGAGGTGGACCTGGGGTACAACCGACGAGGGCTCACGCAGATGGTGAAGTGACTGTCAAGTGACTGTATTTATAGGTTAAGACGGGGGCCTTATGCGACAGGGGCGTGGATCGTCTGGTGAAATTCTAAACTGGCGCCGTGGCAGTTTCCAATCTATCTTTAGATGTTGTTTTGTGAATGCTATATGCTCGATCTCTGCTTTAGCTCAACTCTTAATCTATTACAGAGTTTTATTTATTTATCCTCAGTTTGTACAAAGTACATCACATATGATGATGTAATGACACATGTCAATAATACGTATAATCATTTACAGATGTGTTTCTATTATACAGCATTAAAATCTTGTTATAAGTTATATACAATATGGGGTTGTTGGTTTAAATTACCATATGTATTTACAAGGTTATCCCAAAAGTTCGTAAACACTTGCAAAAAATTGAAATACCAATATTATTCGCCATAATATTATTTGCCGTTATGTATAATATCTTTGAATTATGTATAAAGTAATTGTATTATGTAGTCGCCGTAATAATATTATTCGCCATGTAATAAGAAAAACAACGTTTTAAGAAAAACACGAACTTTTGGGACAACCTTATATATATATGCATACTTACATCTACATATTTAATTAAAAAGACATAAATCGGATCAAAATATCATTTATTTCACCAATATTTCAGTTGGCTGAACGCCAACCTTTATAAAGGAGTTATTTAATGTGTGTCATTAAATATGTTATAACACCTTGATAAAGGTTGGCGTTCAGCCAACTGAAACATTGGTGAAATAAATGATATTTTGATCCAATATATGCCTTTTTAATTAAAGATTTATTCATGGATTGCTCTATTTTCAAAACATCTACCTATATACATAAAAAATAGAAAATAAAAAAAGGAAAACTACATAGAGAATGAATTAACTTTATAAAAATTGTGAAAAACGTGCCTTAAATAGGGTAACTAAATCCTGAATTGGGTAAATTTGGTTAAATTAGAGAAACAATGGTCAGATTTGGTATAAAAACTTAGAGTAGGATAAAAAAGGAAAAAAACTATGGGAAAAGAATTAGGTTTATTTAAATTGAAGAGAAAACGTGGTAAAAAATGGTTTAAATAAATCCTGAATTGCGTAAATTCGGTAAAATAGAACAAAATGGCCTCCAGCCACTCGGTTCTATGGATCAATGATCTTAATTGTATTGAAATTCTGTTCTTTAAAGTCATTAGCAAATGTAATAAAATGTTTTGATTTTCATGGAATTCTTTAAATCGGCGTGCTTTTTCTCTAATTGGACAGAATACTCTCTAGCTTGGATTTTATACACTCATAGACAAGACTTAAGGAAGTGAAAAGTCTTTGATATCCCCTATCGTCTGTTTTTCTAAGGAGACTAAGCAGTTTTGTTCAACACTTGGCTATCTCGTGTATCTTCCATAAAGGTCACTGTAATATCTTTCAGAGTTATTGTCTGAATCCCGATATACATGCTAAAAGGTACAACTTCCTTAAGTTTTGTGCATGGGTGTATACACACTTGGTTATCTAGTATGTCTTCAATAAAGGTCACTGTAATATCTTTCAGAGTTATTGTCTGAATCCTGATATACATGCTAAAAGGTACAACTTCCTTAAGTTTTGTCCATGGGTGTATACACACTTGGTTATCTCATATGTCTTCAATAAAGGGTCACTGTAATATCTTTCATAGTTATTGTCTGAATCCTGATATACATGCTAAAAGGTAAAATGAATTATTCTTTAATACTGTGTGTGTGTGTGTGTGTGAGGATAGTAATGAAAATAAACCTGTGTGAAATTTTCTTCGAAGAAAAAAGTCTGTAGCTGCAAAAATGTGACAAGAAACAAGCGAAACTTGAGACTTAACCAATTTCTCTATCAAAATACTCAAGATGATGAAAAATTGAAGAAAGTAGAAAATATATACATTCTAAAAATTCAACAAAACTTTACAAAATAGAGAACAAGATTTCCAAGGGGATTTGGAATTCTAAGCATGCAAGTGTACAAATCTTCAGACTTCTGGGTGGTCGGAGTGGCCAAAAATGAACAAATTTCTATATTTATTTTTAAGTCTTATGTTACGCCCCTTACAAAGAATTGACCAATCCGCCACGAGCAGACCTCCCTTCTATTTAAGGCCTAATCCCCAGTGAACTTTTGATTCTAAGTTTTGTAAATTCATGACTAAAAACTAAATTAAAGAATTAATAAGTAAATATACATTTTAAAAAAGCCTTTATTAAAATGAATTTAAAAAAGTAAAAATAAAATATTTTATCTTCTGTCACTGAGCAATTAGATGCATCTGAGTGAAAATAAAAGCGGCGGGGGATGATCATATTTAGAGAAGAGGTCAAAATATAGCGAATATTTATAAAAATCGCTTAACAGTTGCTACATATTAAATCACATTAGGTTCAAAATTCATGATGATGGTCGTACCGCCGCTTTTATTTTCACTCAGATACATCTAATTTCTCAATGATAGAAGATACAATATTTTATTTTTTTCTTTTTAGTGCATTTAAATAAAAGCTTTTGATTGTAAAACGACATTTGAAAATTATATCGCAAGTGTTTCTTTTCAACGAAAAATCAAATTTTTATTTTTTTAAGGAGAAATAACGATTATTTCCAACCTTAGGAATGAGGTATGAAAGGATGAATTGCGAAGAGCAATGATAAACGGAAAAATAAAAGTTTCCAGGGATGGGAATCGAACCCACAGTGTTCCGCTTACCGGGCAGATGCCATGTCCACTAGGCTACCCTGGACGTATTTTTTAAAATGTATTTTTACCTATTAATTATTTAGTTCCTGACGTTAAAATAATCATTCCCGTGAGACAGCGAGTCATTGATAGGTCAGGAACAAAATAAAAGGTAAAAAAAAGTACAAATGTGATTTTGCACTGGGATAAGGTTCATAAATTAAAAAAGAAAAAAGGCAACTTTCAGTTGCCCGTTAAGAGAATGTCTTTTTATATTTTTTTTAAATAAAAGGTGTTAAGAATATAACTCTATTGTAAATATTTATTTATTTATTTAACAGTTGGGAGAGACACGCCATATCCACAATTAGGATAATTGCGTGTATATATTACATTATATACCATTAACACAATTGAACATTGGGAAGTATGAAAATTAAACGTTCGATGTCAAATTTTGCATATAGCAATTAGAAATAGTAGCTTGAAATATGTACAGTCAACACTTTCGCCTTGAAATATACATCCTGCAGAATCTACTAAACTTAATGTATTGGTCTTTATTGCAAGCAACTTGTTTTGTATTAGTCAGGTAAAGTTGGTTTTCTTCCCTTAGATCAGAAGTTAATGGACAGTTTATCAGAAGGTGTTCAGGGGTTTGTTGTTCGTTTCCACAAGTGCATGCAGGTAAACCAATTTTGCTAATTCTAAACAAATATGTGTTGAAGTCACCATGTCCGGTAAAAAATTGAACGTTATAGAAGTTGGGTTGAACATAGTTAGGAATTCTTATATTGTAAATGAGACACGAACTTATGAAGTATTATTGTTAATTTGATGGTCTGTGGGTTGGTTCTTATTAAACGGCAGCTAATAGAGTTATTTAGAATTGAAATAGGAAACCTGCGTGCTTGGAAAAGTGGAAGTCTTCGATAATAGACGATGAAAAAATAACGACGTTCAGAACATAGGCAGACTTTATCATTATTGTAAAACATTGTTTACAACAGGAGCGGTGAGTGGAAATATGTTTATACTAGAACACTAGATCAGGCTTCACATATGGAACTTTTACGGAATGATTAAACCTAAGTATGTATATATAATATAAATAATAAATAAGCCAATATCAAATAGTTTATATATACAACAATGAAATACACTCATGGACAAAACTTAGAAAGTTGTACCTTTTAGCATATATATCGGGATTCAGATAATAACTCTGAAAGATATGCAATCATGTGTGTGGGCAAAACTTAAGGAAATTGTACCTTTTAGTATGTACAGGGTGATCCAAAAGTCCCGCACAACTTTAAAAATTAATAACTCCGCGAATATTTGCGCTAGAGCAATGCGGTAAACACCATTGTGTTCAGGATGTAATGGGATTTTTTATGGCAAATAATGAAAAATTCGAAATTGATTTTAGTTACAATTTTATTCGCCAGATGGCGCTCTACCAGAATCAGAGATTCAGCGGCCAAATTGTTTGATAAATTGAAAAATATAACTGATCGACACGTATTTTTCCTTTTTGAATACCAGGAAAGAACCCTAATAATACCAAATAACAAATTAATAAAACACCACTTCGCCAAAAGTATGAAGAATTGGTTAACGATTTTCAAATACAATCAGAGATATGCAAAATAGGTAAATGCAAATTAAAACATGTAGCAAAAATATTTATATTTTATATGGGGTTTTGTGAAATATATTGAATGTTTGAAAAACACTGCTGATATCAATACACTAATTTTTGAAATGTTAATATAGTACCAAAAATTATGATGGCACTATTAATAGGATTTCTTGCTCTAAGAAATGTGTAGTTTCTTGACTGATTGGCGACCCTTGACTATTTAACTGGATATTTGTCATAATCCAACAAATGAAATATAGAGGGAGTGACAAAATATATTTGTCGTACTTTATTCCAAATATCCTATGGGCTTGTCAAATGTTATCATTGTTTATTATACTGTACACAATTTTAAGAAATGTGTCCCCTCAAATAAAAATAATTTTTAAATCGACCTTTTGCGTTGAAAAACGTGGTAGTAAAATCATTTTATATTATTTTTTTCACAAAATTTCTAAAGTTATTGGTGTACAGAAAATATTCCTTATGCTATTTCTTCTAATGAACGAAAAGCGAAAACTAAACATAAGGGGAAAAATTGTGTGTACCAGTGTTATTCGAGAAGTTATAACACTCTGGTTTGCACGACATAATATGTGAGCAAATGACAAACAAAATATTACTGTTCACAAAAAAAAAAAAGACTCAAGATGTGAGGACAGCATTTATTATCCCCATATCCCAACACAAAGAGCTGCAAAATATTGGTAGATAATATAATACATGGCGGCTTATATAACACATGAGGTAACTGCCTTCTCTCTTGTGTTAGGTCACAATCCTTGCTCAATGTGGCACCCTTCATTCTCAATCACCGCCTGCAGACGATAAATGAAAGAATGGACAGCATTAAATAACATATCTGTTGAAATTGATAAAACGTGCCATCTGATAGAAGCCTTCAACATGGCCAATGTGGTAGGCCAGCATCGATAAACACGCGACTTAATGTACCCCCATAACCAAAAATCGCAAGGCGTCAAGTCTGTTGATCTTGGAGGCCACTGGTATATAATGTGGCGACTTATCACACGATTTTCACAAAACGTATCCTTCAGCAATTGTTTGGCACCTCGGGAGATATGAGGAGGTCCTCCATCTTTCATGAATGTTATTTCGCTTAGTGTTTTGCCCTGCAATATGGGAATACCCTTTTCTCTCAAAAGTTGAACATAACGTTCATCAGTTACAAAAACGGTTTTAAAAGTTCTTCCATTGATTTTTCAAAGAAAAATGGCCCAATAATAAAAGAAGTGAACCCACACAAAACTGTAACTCTAGGCTGGTAAAGTGTCATTTCTGTAAAAATCCTAGGGTTTTCTGTTGCCCAAATGCGGCTGTTTTGAATGATAAATTCTCCGTTTAGAGAAAAGTGAGCATCATCTGTCCACAGAACATTCGACAGCCAGTTTTCATCAATATCAATGCAGCGAATTCTTGACGCATCTCAAAATCGCCAACTTTCAGCTCGTGAAATCTTTGAATTTTGTATGGGTACACACAATAGAGACATTAAGTAAAGCGTCTTCGGATATCACAATCATACTCGGCGAATTTAACTTCAAAAGTTCAATTTGGGGATCACCTGTCCTGGATAACAAAAGTCAGCAGGTTGAGAATATGCTAACCGACCTCGACCTTACACCGTTAAATAACGGAGAGAACACCTACCTAAGTCCACAGGCACAGAATCCGCAATAGACATCACAGCGATAAATTACAACATCGCACCCACAACACAATGGAAAATCCTGAGAGGTGCAATCAGTGACCACAGACCAATTTTAACAACCCTAAACTTCAAAATTGAGAATGTCCATTAGAATAAAAGAACATGGAACTTTAGGAAAGCCGACTTGAAAAAAATTCACAGAAAAGCTTGAAGAACTGTGCAACGAAAAATTGAATTACAGAACGCTTGACAAAAACTTGGAAAAATTCTCTTCGAACATTTCAAAAGCTGCAAAAGCATCGATACCTAGAGGTAGACGTAAAGCCCTGTGGATACCTTACTGGAAGGACCTCAATATCGAGGCAATGATATCAGAGAGAGAGACAATATCAATGAACTTCTTAAAAAATAAAACAGAAGATACAGAAAGGAACTCATTGAAATTAGTCACAAAATAGAACTAGAAATTTGAATATGCAAACAAGAAAAATGGGCAGAATTCTGCGAAAAAATGGATCCAAGAAAGGACAGCCAACACTGGAATATGATTAGAGTGTTAGAGAACAATCAAAACCAACACCAATCCTCCAATACTCTAACCGATATGAATAGAACAGCGCGAACGAGAACAAACAGATTGCTGACATAATTGCTGAATATCTTTCAAGCACTTCCATACTCAACTATACGAATGAAGACAGGACTCTAAAAATAATATAAACCAGTTAGTTAAACAAGCAAGAAACTTCCATCAACAAGATATTTTCTCGAGAGACTTCCCACTGAATGAGCTAAACTTATCAATAAAATATCCAAGAGATCACCAAGAGATAATCTAATCTTTGGTCAAATGATTAAACACTTTGAAGACAAAGCTAATAATCAACTCCTACGAATACTGAACATTTCATGGCAAACTGGTAAACTACCAAAGAATTGGAAGATATCATTATAGTGCCAATACTGAAGCCAAACAAAGATGCCAAGGAATACTAGAACTATCGGCCAATTGCTCTCACCAGCATACTTTGTAAAATACCAGTCTGGCTCACTAACAATAATAAAATAAACCTCTACCAAACTGCCTATAGATCCCAGCACTGTACGACTGATCAACTGTTCTACTTCTGTCAATCAATAATAGATTCTTTCCAGGAAAAACCGCCAAAGAAGACCACGGCTATATTCCTTGATATGACCTCAGCTTTTGATCGAGTGTGGAGGGAGAAATTACGTGAAAAGCTGCACAACATCGGAGTTAGAGAAAAACCTTAATATGGATTGCAGACTTCTTAAGGGGAAGAAGGTTAAAGGTTCGGGTTAATGGAGAATTTTCCAAGGAAGGAAGAACATGGACTGGTGTAACTCAGGGATCTGTGCTCAGTCCTCTACTCTATCTGCTATATATTAACGACATCCATCCTTACCTCACTGAAGACACAATGGTTGCCTGTTATGCAGATGATATAGCCATATGGCACACAAGTAGCAGTATAGAAAATTCGTAAAAAAAACTGAACACATCAATGAGAGGACTGGAGAAGTGGGCAATGAAACTCCAAATGAGCATAAACCCAATAAAACCAAACCTATGCGTCTTCTCCACTCACAGGGAAAAAGGCATAAATATAACCAAAGAATAAGCATAAACAAACAAATAATTGATAAAATTAGAAATCCATAATACCTAGGTGTGATACTGCAGTCCTGGATCTTTCAAGTTGGTCTCGAGAACCACGCCATCACC